TCCTGACGTTTCGTCCACAACTGCGGTGGACATTTTCAAAGGCGATGAGGCAGTGGGCGAAGTGATCTCCCGTGCTTTCCGACTAAGAATGATTCCGATAGACCACGGCTTCAAAGCCCGGAAAACATTTCTAAATGTAATCTGACCGGCCGTGAAAGCCTTCATAGTCTGATAAGTTATTACACTTTAGCGCACCGATAGTTATCGAACCAATAAGGGAATCTACCAGAAACTGGGAAATAATGTCGTGACGTTAATGTCACTTATCAAAATTGTTTCATATTTGCGACTTCAAAAGTCCAGACGCCCCCTGGTGGCTAAAATTATAACTACAAGTTAAGAAGTAATTTGACACTTTATGTTTACGTCTGATTGTGATTTTTTTATTCTAATTTGTAAGTATTGTTATATGTTATAAATATCATCAACTACAATAAATAAACAAGTTTGAGAAGTCTCAACTGTCACTCGACAACGAGTAATTTGACGTTTCGCAGCGCCATCATCGGTAGTTGAACTCCCGAATACGGCACCGCGACATCGTGACACTGCCGATGTCTCGGTTGACATTTTGACATTCCTTGAAGGTTATCAATCTTTGGCGCGAAATCTTTGGTTTTAAATCATGTTCCCTTTTGATTTGATTACATATCTGGAATTTTACCAATCATACCCATGTCTATGGGATCAATCAATTGCCGATTGTAAGGTCAGACTGTCACGGAATTAGATGTCACCGTCTGAACGAGCCTTTAGTCAAAAACAATTATCAATTTTCTAACCCAAGGAAAGTCTCTCTAGGCACCCAAATCCACCCCAAATCGATGCCCATCATGTCATCACAAAGCTCTTCTCCCATGAAAAAATTGAGTTCCAAACATACACTCTTGTCGTGGATAAAAAAAACTGATTGCAATAATTAGTTAGGCCATCAACCCTATCGAAATTCAATTCTTCCGAATGGGTAATCGGACAACAAAAACCAACATGGTCAAAATCCTCTTGCCCAAAGAGCAAACCAAATCTTTGAGGTCAAGTACTTCCTAAACCTAGTCAGTGAACCCCAAAGACATTCGTCAGCAAATAATCTCAGGCACATTCTCAGTGCAAAAACTGCCAAAAAATCGGCACACCATGTCCAATTGTGGGGCAAAACCCGTTTGCTATAAGTGTGCCCAAGGACACTTCTATGCAGAATGCAAAAAGCCCCGAGGCATCCCCGCAAAATGTATTAACTGCGACGGTCCTCACCCGGCAAGCTACTTCTCTTGCCCCAAAAATCCAAATTTAGTTTCCCTAAAACAAGACAAGCTAAGCAAGCTAGCTTTTAGAACAAAGTGACTGAAACACACTGAATGCTCCAGAGCAGCAATAAAGATAAAACTATTGTAAATCCCGTTAGGAAGAAAAATATAGATTAATGCCATCTTTATGTTTTATAAAAAATCGCTGATTGCGACAAAGTTGCAGCGCGTTTACCTTGTGTGGTTCACGTGAGATTTTCGTACAACTCGAGCGTGCCCAAAAAAGGTAGTGATATTCAAACGTTATAAATAGCGTCGTCTTGTTCTGTAGTGATCTCTTCGGAGATAAGTATCTTGTGGTGAAATGAAGAATGCGTGACTATCTTGTAAAATTTATAAACCACACACCATCGCCACCGCTTTAAATAAAGACCGCAATAAAAACCATTGATGAGGCTCCGATCTCAACTCCCTTGTAGATATAAATGTGAAGACTGTATAATTTTACGCCGTGTTTTATTTTAAATTTATAAATAACTAGCTGTCCGTATATCAGAGCATTCAGCTCCAAATTCGTAGATCTACGGATAAATCCGTAAGGTCGGCATCGCTGGTCGGGACAGACTTATAAATAAATTTGTAGGTTAAGTTGTGGTAGCGCAGTCTGGCGGATCCAATGTGAAACATTCCAAAATTAACGACTTCTTACAAATAAAAAATAAATTAAAGAAACATTTTCCAGTGGACCAAATTGTGGATCTAAACCATTCTCAAATCCCCTTAAAAACGCACAAAAAAATTCATCACAATTGAACCACTCGTTTAGGATGAGTTCAGACACATACCCACGAACACAAGAAATATACAGGGTGATTCAAAATTGGTGTCATTCCTCTGGAGGTGTTGTCTGGCGCTGTTATAGGAGTACAGAAAAAATAGTAAAAGACATTAATTGTTATTGAAAACTGAGAAATTTGCAAAAAACTATATCAGAGATACGGCAGCAATGTTTTTCAAGGTAATCTGCCTAGTTAACTTTGCGCAAATACCTGTTACTCCGTAATTATTTAAAACTCCGGTAACCATGGATAAATAGAGAGTGACAATAAGATAGACAAAGATAAACGGTAAATTCAATAGGAATCGTTGAATGACGGAACCTATTTTGAAATGTCAACCTGTTCTCATTCAACCTGTTCACCTCAAATTCTGCGGGGTTTGGTGTTTCATAAATAATCCATACAACACCAAACATTTGAATGGTTAACTCCAAACAAGCTAGTGCCTGTGTCCAACTCCAAACAAGCTAGTCCTTATTATCCACTCTTATCAAGCAGCTTCTCGTATTCAGTTAATTAACTCCTGCTCCATTTGTATCTCCTGTGCTGTGTGTATCGTACAAACGTGGTAGGAACGTAGCCCTTCCTCGGTATTTATTTGGTGCTTGGGAAAGTGTCAGTTATTGCGCTCTGAGTGCCCCTGGAAGGCCCTGATTCGATGATATGTCCAATACCTGTTCCTCTGTGCCTGGAACCCGAACATCTATTG